ATCACGGAGACATGTTTTTAATCACATAGTTTTGGGAATAAACCTATGCAGATATTAACTGGAACTCTAGTAATGCTTTTTGACTTACTCTCCTCGTACACTAGTAACAAATAGCATAAACCAACTTTTACTGACCTAAGTACAAATGTAATTTATAGATTTTCTCTTAAATTCAGAGAAACACATAAACAGAATCAAATGCTAGGCATTCTGAACCACCTTCAGAGTGATGCCCCAGAATCAGCCTGGTGAAGTGATCATTAATAAGAGGAATTAAATGCTATTTCTGCCACTACTGATTGAACTTTTATTTTTGAAATCCAGCTATTGTTGCCCCTACTACAGCTGTAAACACACACAAAAAATTGGTTCTCTTTTCTCCTTGTTCTCTGAATCATTACCATAGGCATTATAGGAGGAAAAATTATTCCTCCAAATGCATACATATCTTAATCCCTGGAAGCTGTGAGAATATTATATTATATATCAAGGAGAAATTAAGACTGCAAATAGAATTGAGGTTGCTCATCATCTGACTTTAAAATAGGAAGGTTATCTGGACATCAAGTATATTTGCAGGAAATTCAGGATTTCCATAACTAACCTGTATTAGGAAACAAATAAAACTGAGCAAACATTTTAGTTGTAACTGCAAGAACATGAGCTACTGATATGGCCATTATAATATTGATTATTCATATATGTATATTATATGAATATTTTACATATGTTGTTGTTTTTGTTAAATGCCATCAAGTTGATTCTGACTCATGGGGACACTGTATAGGGTTTCCAAGGAGTTACTGGTGAGTTTGAACTGCCAAACTTCTGATACAAATTGACCTTGTAGACCAGTGTTTATCCTACAGTGATACCCTAGGATATTTTATATATTTGTTGTTGTTGTTGTTAAGTGCTGTTGAGTTGGTTTCCACTCATAGTGACCCTGTATAGGGTTTCTGAGGAGCAGTTGGTGAGTTTTAACCATGTACCTTGCCGTTCAAACTGACCTTATTCCTGATTGAAATCACATGGATCTACATAACGGATAGAGGGAAGAAAGAGGGTTAGTGTCAGGTGATGTAATGTGACACTCAACTGACCACTGCTGATTTTTAAGTTAAAGGGGTCCTAAGTCCAAGAAAGTGGGCAGCCTCTTGGAAAAGGCAAGATGTCATATTCCTTTTTACAACCTCTAGAAAGGAATGCAGGTTTACTGACACATTCACCCTAGCCCAGGGACCCACTTCAGACTTCGGATCTCCAGAAATACCAAATAGTAGATGTTTTAGTAACTTGTTTATAGTAACTTGTTACAGCAGCAATAGAAAACTAATAAAACTATCAGCACATTGAATCTATTACGTATGAGTTATGGATTGATTTGTGTTCCTTAAAATGATTTGTTGAAGTCCTGATCCCCAGGACTTGTGAATGCAACTTTATTTGTAAATAGGGTCATTGTAGATATAATTCATTAATATGAGGTTCTGAGATCCCTAACTAATATGACTGGTGTGCTTATAAGAACAGAGCAAAAAATGCCACGTGAAGACACAAGGACATATACAAAGAAAGATGGCCATGCAGAAGGGGAGACAATGACTGGAGTGATGCATCTATAAATCAAAGAACTCCCAGTAATGTGGTCACCAACAGAGTTAGGAAGAGTCAAGACAGGATTCTGCCCAAATCCTCAAATGGAACGTGGCCCTACTGACATCTTAATTTCAGACTTTTAGCCTCCCAAACTCGGAGAGAATAAACTTGTTTTGTTGTTTTAAATCATTTCATTTATGATACCTTGTTACGGAAACCCTAGGAAATTAATATAGTGTTTGGTTCTGATTTGTCAGATTTAAGAGTAACATGCCTAAACCCAAATTGTAAAACCTATGTATGACCCTTGTGGCTTCTAATCCAAATCGAGACTCCCTGACAGAATTTCTTAAGATTTCCATGGTTGTCAGCAAACAAATCGAAACAAGGAAGTAAATCAAACAAACGTACACATTTTAACTATAGCTTATTCATTAATTTGAATATTGTTGTTATGTGCCGTTGAGTCGATTCCGACTCATAGCGACCCTGTACAGGGTTTCCGAGGCTGTAAATCTTTACGGGAGCAGAAAGCCTCATCTTTCTCCCAAGGAACAGCTGGTAGTTTCGACTTTGCGCGGTTTGCAGCCCGACTCGTAACACTACGCTGTTAGACTACAATAATATTAGATCTATATATACTAAATAAGCTACCCTCTATCTAAATTAAAATGGAAAGAGAATATATTTCATGTATTTCCCTTTGTCTAAAATAAAACTCAAACTGATCAAATTTGTTAATTCATACTATTGACTATGGAGTCCTGGTGCAGACTGCTAAACACAAGGCTGGCAGTTCAAACTCACCAGTTGTCCCTTGGAAACCCTATACAGAGTTGCTATGAGTTGGAGAACTGACTCGACTCACTTAATAATAACGGAGCTTTGGTAGTGTAGTGGTTATGAATGGGGCTGTGAACCTTAAGGCCAGCAGTTCGAAACTACCAGCCGCTCCGCGGGAGAAAGATGAGGCTTTCTGCTCCCGTAAAGATTTACAGCCTCCGAAACCCTGTACAGGGTCACTATGGGTCGGAACCGACTCAACGGCACTTAACAACAACAACAATTGTGTGGTGCTATAGGATACACACTGGACTGAAAGTCCCAAGGTCAGCTGTTCAAACCTACCAGCTGCTCCTCAGAAACCCTACATAGAGTTGCTATGGGTCAGCATCTACTCAACAGTACTTAGCAACAACAATTGGTCAGTAGTTATTTCTCTCTCGTGTGTGTGTATGTGTATATACATGAAATGCTTCTTTGAAACTGCTAACATTGGTATCCTCTGGGTTAGAGGCTAAGTGGATTAGAGTTTTGACAACTGACTGATAGGATTTGTATTCTTGTTATTATTTCTAACAATATATGGAATGGATGAATTTCTCTCTATATAAAGCCAAATGTGCAAGACCTTACTATTTTTATTTATAGTAACTCAAGATTAAGAATATAGTGGTGGAGAAATAGCTGATCCAAGAAAATAGTGAGCCAGTGTATGGTTATGGTAGACTAAGCCTAAATTTATAAAAATTCTTAGTATTGGCTTGTTTTGGCAGACCCAATTGATTTCATGATAAATTGTGAGTTATCTTTGTCTCTGATTACTCCCCTTTTGAGAAAACCTTTATTATTCTATATAATAGTATATATATGTATGTATGTGTGTGTGTATTGTTATTGTTGTTAAGTGCCATCGAGTCGGTTCCAACCCATAGCGACCCTGTATAGGGTTTCCAAGGAGCGACTGGTGAGCTTGAACCACCGACCTTGTAGTTCAATCGCTTTTGCAGTCTGGTGCTTTAACCCACAGCACCACACCAAGACTCTGTGATGTGGAGTCAGTTCTGACTCATAGCGACCCTACCCAGAGTTTCCAAGGCTGTAAATCTTTACGGGAGCAGAAAGCCTCATCTTTCACTCGTGGAACTGCTGGTAGTTTTGAACTGCTGACCTTGAGGTTTGCAGCCTGATTCGTAACCACTATGCTACCGAGCTCCATATATATATAATTTATTATGCTACCATTTTCAAACGTTCCCCTTTTCCAACAGAATACCCTCAGTTTCCAATATGTATTAAGCATTCCATTAAGTATGACCTAGAAAAAGCTACATGGTTCTCCAGTGAATATTATCTCTAATCTAAACATAGGTTATTCCCCTAATGCATCTGAGCATTACAAATTTCATATATTAGAATTCAATATGGTTGTCAAGAAAGTTCCTAAGGTTCTTAAGCCCCTTCCAAGACTAAGACTCAATGGGAATATACTAGCAGACATGTGCTCTGACTGGGACCACGTTGGCTAGCGATAAGGGGAAGGGAGGGAAAAACAGCAATGAAGCTGTGAGCTAAGCCCTACCATGTTCAATAGACTTCTATGAACCCGGGTGGAGACCTGATTGTCCAGCAGTATGGCAAGACCTGGGAACTCTTGGGCCCAGAGTCAATGACATAGCCACAGAGTACTAGAGTGGAGAGTGAAGTGTCCAGGTGATAAAACGAGAGGGCATATGTACAAGAACACCCATACTTGCAGATAATACCCTCTTGACCTGGTTTCAATGGCTGAATTATCAGTACTCAACTAGAAGAAAAAAGAAAAGGAAAAAAAGAGTAATCTGATACAATTTGATGACGTTGACCTACACTTACGGATGCAGTAGCTCAAAAGAGGGAACAAATATTTACAGTGAGGATCATTCCCACACCCTCCACACACAGAGTAGACAGGTATGGGCAACTTGGATGGGGGTACTACAAAGGCAAGAAGTGACTGGCTTACAAGCTTTCAATAGGTAGCCTGGATTCAGAGGGAATGGAGGAAGGTAGAATCTCCACAGAGTAGTATCCAGTCTGTCTGGCGGGGCTGATGAAAGGAGATGGGGATGGTGCTCATGTGGCACAATCGTGAATAATTGCTATCAGGACTCACTGTGAGGGTTGGAAATGGAAAGGTAGATATTTTGTATCAAAAGGAGGGGAGTGGTTGACTTTGCAGTCCAAGAGCAGAAGCCCCGGCACTATCAAGGGAGAAAAGAGGAGTGCTGGACCCTACCCAAAGAAACACTGACACCAGAGGTGGAGGCAGAGATGATGTAATGGAGAGATGGAGCAACTGGGGACTTTAGAACCAGAGAGGGAGAGGGGCTGTGTGCTGATGACCAGTGGGCAAGCTTGCGGTGTATACCCTTTGGTTGCTTGATGATGCATTGAGGAGATTGTAACCATGGCAATGAAACAATATAGGATAGGATGGTATAAAGTTAATGTTCTCCCATGTAAACTATTACATAATTCATAATAAAACATTAAAAAAAAAAAAAAAAAGAAAGTGGCTAAGGTTCTTGAGTGTAGACGTGCATTTGTTAAATCTATGAAAATGACAAAAAACAGGAATGTTTCATTATGATATTTTATTATGGGTGTCTGTAAGAAAAAAGATCAACAACCACATACAAGTTTACAAAGTTTCAAATTTCAACACATTCTCCATGTTATTGTGACAAATGCATAATTTGTTTTGTTTTGTTGTTGTTGACTTTTGCAGAATGAAGAGAGTACTCTGAAGTGGCATGCCAATCAAACTTTTTTACAGGAGACATGCATGAACATGTGCACCTATATTTGAATGCAAGTCAACAATTCTGATCTAGAGTTTTAAAAGTGAAAGGAAATTAGCACCAAAACATGTGTCTCTAAAGTCTTCCCAGATATTGGTAATCTTGACCAGCAATGACAGGAAAAGAGAGAAGCACCTTAAAAGTATTTGCTATCCAAGACTAAAATAATTAAATTCTTGCACTACCCTCTAGCCTTTTCCCCTACCATTATTTTAGGAAATAAATCAATGAAATTCAAAATGCTGGCAACTTATACAATTTTTTTTGTTCTTTTGGGACTCAGAATTCATCTGTACTTCTGACCAGGTTGAGGTAGTTGAAACAGGGAGGTCTTTAAAATTTCATGTTTGACTATTCAGAATGAATGGTTATCTTTTATTAGTGAGCATAGTCATTGCTCCACAGATGGGCTAGGATTCAAATAATGTAACACAGTGTTTTTATAAGAGTGTTGAAGTTTATTTATTATAGCACCATTGAGACATTTTGAAATTGGAATTGGTAAAAAAATAGAACAAAAAGCATTTGAATTGTGTTTGGTGTAACAGCAAAAAAAAAAAAAAAAAAAATCCTTTTTTCTCAAATTATATTTTTTCCAAAAATTTTGGAAATAAATAACTGGCATTTAGTTGGTTACTTGTACTGGTTGACAAGATTAGAACAAGAGGAACACATATGGAGTGTGAAATTTTTTGCTGGGTTTTCAGATAGAGTTTAGTTTATAAAAAGCAAACAGGGCCAACGTCCACACCGAACTCTTGATCAGGACCACCAATATCATAGGGTGCAATGTCTATAATAGGTAGTCTCATAGCCTTGCGTGTTCGATATTCGAAGACTGTTTTGCCCCATTCCCCAGTGTGTTTCTGTAAAAAAAAACAGAAAATGTAAGTAATAATTACATTATAATTACTTAAGCAGTTGCTCTGACTGGAAAGTAAAAAAAAAAAAAAAAAAGTGCTGTTCTAGAGAAGTTGCCAGCTTGCCATACCTATTTTCCATACATATAAGGATTGTATTCAAAGCTGTAATTCTTCAATATGGCAAATCATGTTATTAACTAAAAGACCTTGTGGCATTTTAAAATGCAACAGGGTAATCAACATAGGCTAGATCATTTTAGAAATGTCTGAGTCACATCAGTACTATAGCCACTTTCCTAAGAAGTGATTGTTCACTCACAATGGGATATTAAAAGTGACTTTCCCGTCTGGCCCAAAATAGCAGAGCATTGATATGAATTTAATCTCTAAAATTAAATTAAAATTTTAATTAATTAAATTTTTGATCTCACTAAAAATTTAAAGCCACATGGAATCCATCCAGATTCCTGATTATTTGGTAAAGTCTGTATTATGGATTTAAATTTCAATTGCTTTAATTTCAATTGGTTTTCATCTGGAGGCAGGTCAACATGGGTGAAGAAAATGTATACTCAATCAGAAATTGCATCAATATGTTTTCAGTAGAATGCTATTTTGAATAATCAAAATCAAAGATTAAGAACCCTATCAAAATCAAAGTATTCATTATATAAATGATTTATTTGGCTGTTTATCAAAAGCATATTATCCTAATCTTTTTATTACTGCTTAAAATATTTATTTTTTCAAGGAATATTTTCTTTCTTTCCTAAATATTTAACATTATTTCTAAACACATAATATAAGTTTTCCCTTCGTGTGTCTACCATCTTTTACTCATAGAAGAGATTCTTTTCTCTTGAGACATGAATTACTCATAAAAGGCACTATTGTTTGTTTATATATGTCTTACATATCTCCTATACTTTTAACTTTTCCATGTGTGCCAGCAAATTTTTATAAAATAGAATAAAGCTTAATTCTCAGAAAATAGCATAATTCATAATTCTGATCTTCAAAGATATTCAGGGATTCCACAGATGGATTGGAGGGACCTCTTAATCTTCAGATGTGATTTTTATTTATATTTGTATATGATTAGTTTCTCTTAAAACAAACATGAGAGGATACATAGCTCTTGCCAGATCCTTAAAGAATTTCAAAGTTATGACAATTTAAGATCTACTGTTTACTTTTTGTGAACAAGTAGATTCTGCAACCCTCTTATATGTGTTTTTCAAAATAGTTTTATTAAACTAGAAATTCTAACTTCATTAAGAATTATGTTTATAAAAATGTTGTTACTTACAGTGCAACCATCCTCCAGAACTGTGTATGTGAATTTGCTACTTCCTTCAGCTTTAAATTCTCCTTCATTTGACCCCATCAGCTTCAGGGCTTTCTTTACATTCCCATTGGCCTGATCCATGTATGCAATGCTATTCTTACAGTGGTAGGTAATGTTCTGGGAGGCTTTGCTTGAGAGAAGTCGGAGGAATGCAAGCTGGACATCAAGTATATCTTCAGGAAGTTCAGGATTGCCATAACTAAACTGTAATAGGGAACAAATAAAGCTTGATCAAACATTTTAGTTGTAACTGCAAGAATATGAGTTACTGATATGGCCATTATAATATTGATTATTCACAGGCTTTAGATATGAATATTTTACATATGTTGTTGTTATTGTTAAGTGACTTCAAGTTGGTTCCGACACATAGCGACCCTGTTTCCAAGGAGTGGCTGGTGAGTTTGAACTGCCGACCTTGTGGTACAAACCGACCTTTGTGGTACAAATGGACCAGTGCTTAGCCTAAAGCAACACTCTTGGATATTTTATATGTAAGTTGTTGTTAAGTGCCGTCGAGTTGGTTTCCACTCATAGTGACCCTGTATGGAGTTTCCGAGGAACTGCTGGTCAGTTTTAACCACCTACCTTGTGGTTCAAACCAACATTATGGTCAAGTACTTATCCTACAGCACCACACCGAGACTCCATAATATATTTTAGTCACATGTATAAACTATCATATTAGAATAGATAGGCTTTAATAATTAAAATAAAAGTGTTGGAATGTAAAGTATAATTTAATCTAGCTTTACTTTTAACAATAGACAAAGCACCTTGAGTAGGTACAGAATAGGGGTTCTGAGTAGCAGCTGTTGGGTTTGAACCACTAACCTGCAGAGAGCAATTCAGTGCTTATTCTTAGCAGCACACCTACTAAAGTGTAGTTAAGTGAATATATACAATCACCTGACTCATATTAATTAACTTAGCTTTTTGATGAATAAATAGGAGAAGCAACAAAAATCATGTAAATCAGGATGATGTAGCTAAATACATTATTTTTCACCTGAAATCCACCAGCCATGGTCTCTCCAAACCAAATGTGTTTCTTCTCAGTACCAGATTCTGACCACCAGTTCTTACGTGGAACATTCAAAGGACTGGCATTTATGCATGTTTCCCCAGTTTCCATATTACAGAATACTTTGATAGCATCCAACTTGCAACCTTGGTTAGGATCAACCCAATATTCTCCTGAATTGTTACAAAACAGAAAATGGTAATTGGTTATAAAATACAGTAATCAGATTTGGATCTGAATGATTTTGTTTGTTGACCTGTTAAGGTATTCATCAAGTTGATTGTTAATATATTTGTCATTCAGATGTTTATAAATTATATCATTATACAGAAGTATTTTCAGGTGGAATTGGTGAAGTATTAAACACTAGCTATAATAATTAGAAAGCATAAAAATAAAAATAACATTTTGACTTTGAGCACTAATGATATATTAAGCTAAGACATTTTGAATGGCATACAGTATTTTCTTTTTTTTTAAAAAGATGACTTACTAGTCTAACCTGGATTTATATAAAAATGTCTAACCATAAAATTTCTGTATTTAATGGTTATCCTCTATCTTAACTTCCAGAACTTACTCAATGAAAAAACAATGTTCCCTGTGAAGGCACTTGAAAGTTTGAAATAATCTTGCCTTTAAAATAGAATTAATCCCATATATGCAAACCTCTAGACTATTAGACTATTGTATATAATGTTATGCAATACTCTGGCATTTTCCAGTGAACTGCCAATTAATTTGAAAAAAAAACAAAAACAGAAAGAATTTAGATCAACATTTAAATTGTAAATTGTGCTTGCCTTATATTCCATATATATCTAGTATAGGTTGTTTTATTAGTCACGTAACTGTATGATAATCTTCATACCAAACTGAATTGTGCTAACATTGCTATAAAATTATATTTACATTTTTCTGTATCTGTAATCTTTTAAGTTAGTTATACGACATTTTTAGTTCACTAGCAAAGCTCACTTTTTAAAATACTGCCAAGCAGTTTCAATTTAACATACAAAAAGTATTATTCCTGTTAGAAAATACTTCCATTCTTAGAAAAAGTTTTCTCTTCCTCAAATTATACTATAAGCAGCTCTCTCTGTAATTCTGTTGCCATGAGCATGAAAGACTCCCCAACCTACCACTCTGGAGTTCAGGATGACAGAATTTCAGGTCTCTGCAGTTCCGAGCAGGGTTTTTGCGAGAGCCATCAGGGCTAATGAGGTTTTCTATTTGCCCATTAATTGATTTGAGTGAAGACATAATCTCTTCAGTGTTGATTTTCAAATCCATTGGGTCATCTCCATAATATGGGGAAAACCCACCAGCCTTTTCACCTCCAACACCAGAGATGGCAGCAGCACCACCACAGCATGGCCCAGGGGCCCCAGGAGGTCCAGGAGGGCCTGGTTGTCCTGGATGGCCAGGGGAGCCCTAGGAAGGGTAAGAACATCCATCACCGAGGTGTACTTGTTTGGTCTCCACCAAAAGAATGTTTGTTATCACAAGAGAATGCATTAAACATGTTGTTGTATAGATTTATTTTATTTGGATTTTTATGTGATCAAATGATAATTTACAATAACTTTAATTTGCTACCATGAAATTAGTAGTGCTCTATTATATAGGAGTAAGAGATGTAAGCTCACAAATTTTATTCTATCAGATTTTCCTTTTGTATAAATGCAAATAATTCATGAAGCACAGTTCTAAAGCTGCCATGGCTCAAAAGATAACACCAGGATCTCTAGATTTTGACCCCAGAATCTAGCTTTGTTTCTTTGAGCTTTTCATTTCACTTATTTGTGTGTCAGTTGCCATGTGTATAATCTGGGATGATAACTTCTATGCCATTTATCCCATAGGGTTGATTAGGATGCTATTAGGGGTGATAGTATCAGTAGTATAATAGGAATCATGGATGCTGTTTGAGAGGCAAAATACACTACATAAATGCAAAACATTATGATTCTCATTCCAGCTTTAAATGTCTTCTTTTGTGAGATCAACATTGATCTAGCTGATTTGGTTAACTGACAAGAATACTACTAGTATTGTCATTGCTGTTAAGTGCCATTGAGTTGGTTCCAACTTATAGTAACACTGTATAGGGTTTCTGAGGCTTTAAACCTTTTCTGGAGCAGAAAGCCTCATCTTTCTCCCATGGAATGACTGGTAGTTTGGAACTGCTGACCTAGAGGTTAGTAGCCTAACTTATAATCGCTATGCTACCAGAGTTCCTTTTACATATATTTATAAATATATATATTTGCCTATTGTCACACTGTGGTAGACAAAGTCCCAGTGTGGTCATTGTTCATTTTCTAAATCAAATCAGGTAATTATACTATATAGAACTCAACATCTAAAGTTTAAAATGCGGCACAGTGATTCTAAACATTTGAAACAAATTGAATACACATATTTATCAGTGATGCCTTACCTCTGACCCTCTTTCACCCCTATTACCCCGAGGTCCTGGTGGTCCAATGGGACCTGGATGTCCACTTGTTCCGTCTTTGCCAGGGGAGCCACCGGGTCCAACAGGTCCCTAGGAAATTATCACGATATTACAATGCTAGAATATATTCCTAAATGCAAACATTTGAAAATGTGGACATCCCAGTTTCTTTCTGTGGTACTTACTCTGGGGCCTGCAGGTCCTGGACTACCAATTGCACCTTGGTGACCAGAAGGACCCTGGAAGGAAAGGAATTGTGACTATGAGTAATTTTCCTTACTTTCATGAGTAAAAATTTTTTGAACAATTTGAAGTTGTTGTTGCTATTAGGTGCTGTGACATCAGTTCCATAGTGACCCTGGATAGGGTTTCTGAGGTTATAAATCTTTTGTAGGACCAGAAAGCCTCATCTTTCTCCCATGGAGCAGCTGGTGAACTTGAACTACCAACTTTGTGGTCAACAATCCAGTGTTTATCCTACAGAGCCAGAGTATTCTGTTCAACAGTTTGTTATTGTTGTTAAGTGTCCTTGAATCGGTTCCAATTCATGGTGACCCTGTATAGGGTTTCCAAGGAGTGGCTTCTTGTTGTTTTTGTTAAGTGCCATAGAGTCGGTACCGAATCATAGTGACCCCCTACAGGGTTTCTGAGGAGCAGCTGGTGAGCTTGAACTGTAGACCTTTCCGCTCAAACCGACCTTGCAGTTCAGTGCATTACCCTGCAGCGCCATACCAGGAAATCATATATTCAGGATATGATTAAGAAACATAGAAATTATGATGACATATGGTTTCCTCTTTTCCTCAACCTTCTCATTGTCTTATGCCAACTGTTTTTTCAAATTAACCTTCTATCCCATTTTGCATCTCTTCTAGCATATATATTTGTTGTTGTTAAGCACAGGTTCAGACTCAAGGTAACCCTGTAACAGGAGTTCTGAGAAGTTGCTGGTCGGTTGGAACTACAGACCTTGCAGTTAGCAGTCCAGTTCTTATCAAAATTCCTGTTGTTCCTAAAATCTCTATAGTGTACAAATCAGGCAACTAGTTGCCTAATTAATTAGTTAATAGGCATTGTAGAGGGCTTTCTGACAAAATGGGTGTACTTACTGGAGACCCTGGTGCACCCGGAGCGCCAGGCAATCCTCGGTGTCCTTTGATGCCATTAAAACCACGTTCACCTGTTTCCCCTTTATCACCACGTGGACCTTGAGGACCCTTTAGAAATACATTTTAAATTAAAGTCATACACATATGAGCACAATGGAAAAATAACATTGATGTAAAAACTGTGCCATTTTTATGGTATTTTATTGACTAGAAATCAATATCAGCATATACTTTGTACATAGAATAATAAATATGGTTTTTGTAGTTGTTTGATTTTTGACAGTTAAAAGCATAGGATATCAATTAGTAATGTTTATATGACTGTCCAGAAGAATTTTTAGACCTTAAATTACTTTCTCAATCATCAAGGGAAGTTTAAATTCTATTCCATAGTGAAAGCATTTTGTCATCCCCCTTTCCTGAATATGCCAGAAAACAAAACATTCCCTACCCCTTAGGATGAGTTTAAAAAACAAAAACTTACAGCAGGACCTCGGGAACCAGCAGGACCTGGAGCCCCAGATGGACCAGCTGGGCCCTAAAACGAAAACAAATGAACAAAATGATAAACTCACATAGAAGTGTGTTATTTGTTGACAAAATTTTATTTTCAAAAGTTAATAATTTTGTTGTGATTGAATTATATATAATATGCATATTATTTAGAATTGTAATAGTTGGAATTTATTTTCTCATTCACAATCCTTTCCCTATTTATATTTTCCCAGAATTCTAAACAGGTAAACTGAATAAAAGGCCTAATAACTCACCCTTGCATTTATCTAGGTAATAGAAATTTGATATGATTAATAGTGTTTTAAATTTTAGTAATGAACTCTTCATTGACCACCACCAGAAAATTATAATATATTCTTTGTTGCCATAGTTGCTTAAGAAATGACTAGTATAAAAACTACAAAACAAAAAATAGCAGTTCTTATGTTTAGCATCTCTGACAGTCTATCTTTTATTTACTAATCTCTTTACTGAGGAAAATATTCAAGAAAGGTAGTTATATTAGAACTTACAGACTCTCCTCTTTCACCACCCTTTCCAGCTGGACCAACAGGACCTGGTGGGCCTGGATGACCAGGAGAACCTGGAACACCAGGAGGACCACTTTCACCACGATCACCCTGTAGGCAAAGTTACAGATCAAATATAAATTTGGTGAGCAGTCATTACTTTAATTGGATGACTCTTTTGTATATATGGTTGCTATACCTTGGTACCAGGAGATCCATCTCGACCTGGAAGGCCATCTGATCCAGGGTTTCCCTAAAAATGGGGAAAGAAATCAAACTCTTTGAAACTATGAATTCTCAATGGAGGCAATATTATCCTGAAGAGAATACAATTTGGGTTTTGGTGGGAGGGGTGGTGAAAATTCATAGCTATTACAATGATGTGTGGCCCTTAAAAGGGTAACAGTATCCAAACCACTTACAATATATAGCTGCAGTCCTAAAATTTTATGGAATAGGAGAAGTGATTAAGAAAAAAGGTCTAAAAGAACTCCTTGTTGGTAAGTACCATCAAGTCACTCTAACTCATAATGACCTTAGGGAGGGTTTCTGAAAAGGGGCTGTTGGATTTGAACCACTGACCTTGTGGTTAGCAGTCCAGTGTTTATCTTACACTGAATCCCCAGAACTCCAAATAACTCCTTAATGGGGAGATAACTAATACATTGTGTGAAACAATCATCTAAGATGATAATTGTTAAGTGTCTTCAAGTCAATTCTCACTCACTCATAGTGAGCTTTCCACACTAATTTGTTTCCCTACTTAGCTAGAGGCCATATTCTTCTCCTTCTCCTGTATTGTTCATTCAATAAATACTAATGATCATGCACATTTAAGGCTATTCTAAGTTGTAATTAAAAGAACATCTATTATTTAGCAAAGAAAGGGGAATTTTGGCATGTAGCATTATTTACCCTCTTAGAAATTAAGATCCCCCTAATTAACCTCTACTTAAGAAAATGTTCAAATTTTAACTGACTGGCAGGACATTTATTAAGAGGTAGGACTTACATCTCTTCCAGGTTCGCCTGATGTACCAGCCAGACCAGGAAGACCCTGAGGGCCAGGAGGACCACGTTCTCCATTGATACCACTGGGCCCTGGTTTCCCATTTTCACCCTGTATAGAAAGAAATGAAATAAATTTTGCTTTAGTTTAAAAAATACATTTGTATGGCATTATCCGATGTCTTTATTTTTCAGGGAAATACCTTTTCTTCAATTTTGTTTGAATTTATTACCAAAACTATCACTACTATGCTAGAAAATCTTTTCAGAAACAAGGATTTTTTATAATTTGCCAAGTGATTTTGCACACCAAAATTCTGGGTAATCTTATTTAGAATACATTATAATAGGAGATGTGTAAGTGGTGCTGTGATTGTGTGTCATGAAGTCAGTTCTGACTCTTAGCAACCCTGTTTCGGAGGCTCTAAATCATTACGGAAACAGAAAGCCTCATCTTTCTGTTTCTGTAACGATTTAGTTCTCAAGCTGCTGACCTTGAGATTAGCAGCTTGACTTGTAACCACCAAGCTACCAGATATGTGTAAGTACACATTTATAATAATAGACACTGTAAGAAAAAAATAATGCTAAGCATTCATAAAACTATAGATTTATGTTACTCATTTGAGTTAGGTTTCATGGAACATTTGGATCTATCTGAAGAATACATATTTACTTCGTGTTGTTGTTAAGTGCCATGGGCTCAGTTCAGACTCATAGCGACCCTGTACAGGATTTCTGAAGAGCAGCTTCAGAAATAGCTATGAGTTTTCACCACCCCTCCCACCAAAACCCAGGTGGGTTTGAATTGAACTGAATTGAATACATTGAAATGTTGATTTCCAATTTCATTATAATATCTTACATTTTATTGAAACAGGTTCTCAAAATGTCCAAATGACAATCCTAGTGAAAAGCATGATTGTTATTACCTCACTTGCTAAATGGGCATTTAAGATACTAATCACTAAGATATTATTGTAATATTACTTAAAGAAAATCAATTATGTAAAATGACTTGAGTTGATGGATAAGTGGCATCAGTTAGAGGCATTTATAATTCAATGTTGTTGTTTAGTGCTGTGGAGTCAGTTCTGACTCATAGAGACACTGTGTAGGGTTTCTGAGGCTTTAAATCTTTGCAGAAGTAGCCTTATCTTTCTTCAGCTATAATTCGATATGACACTATGGCTTTTCCCTTTGATACCAGCAGTCAACAAGCTGAAGTATGGCCACAAGTTTCCTGATAGAGGTTTTAGAGATAGCAAGATGGCTTTCTCTAATATTAATTTGTCTGTGTTATATTCAACAGAGTCCTGGTATGGTGCTGCAGGATAAGCACTGGAACTACCAATCACAAGGTTGGCAGTTCATATCTACCAGCCACTCCTTGGAAATCCTGTATAGGGTTGACTCAAGTTGGAATCAACTCGATAGCACTTAATAGCAGCAAATTCAAGATTGGCCTAAGATGTCCACTGTTTTCATGAGCTGGAGACATTTAATAAAAGCCTTTGGATAATTTACATCTATGGCAGGAAAACCTGTTCATTACATGCTTGATATAGTCAATGATCTCTGAAGACTATCAGCAGAAACAAGAATCCAATGAAAATGACTACACTTACCTTGATGCCTTGTGGGCCAACATTTCCTCTAGCACCTGGTGTGCCTGGTAGTCCTACAAAACCCCGTGGTCCAACAGTCCCTGAAAGTCCAAGTGGGCCTGGAGCTCCCTGTGGTGACAAATAATGATGTCTTAGCTTTTCTTTACATGACTATATTTTCCTCTACAGAATTTGTGATTTAAAAAAAAAAAAAAAAAAAAAAGTATTGTCAATCCATAGAGCAATGAAGGTCCTCACCGGTGGGCCTTGAGCACCAGGTGATCCTTTTTCACCTGGCTGACCAGCATCACCTTTGGGTCCAGCTGCTCCAGGGTGTCCAGGAGCACCACTGTTACCAGCAGGACCTGGGGGCCCATCTTTGCCCGGAGCACCACTGTTGCCTGGAGGTCCTGGGCTACCCTGAAAACAGATGTTGCAAAATTGAGTATTTTATGATGAAAATGTGATTTTATTTCTCCTACCTTTTATCTACTTTTAACAAATTTTATCAAGGCTTTAGTGAAGAGATAGGTATAAAGGTGTATGTTTCTAACCCTATGCATATATGAATGCTCTTTCTGAAACATATTAATTAATGGGGGAAAAAAGCACTTACACTATTACCAGGAGGACCAGGAGGACCACGGGCACCAGGGAAGCCAGTAGCACCCTGTGAAATGATAATACTTTGTTTGAATTTTAAAAGTTAAGTAGAACAAATAACTATCCACTAAACTCTAAATATAAGAAATATGGTATGGTTTGTATTCTACTTTGGAATCATTTATGGTTTGTTTTTCTCTTTTAAAATTATATAAATCATATATTACTGAGTGAATATCACTTTGTGTTCATTTTAGGGCTCTAGTGTCTTAAAAGTAATTTAATACCGGTTAATATCAACAAGTGCTTTTCAATACTAGTTAAAGAGAGTCAGTACTTACAGGACCACCGGGACTACCACGTTCACCTTTGACTCCTTGAGGACCAGGAGGACCCTAAATGACATGTGAGGGGGGAAAATAAGTTCTATAAAAATGCACACACAAATTTGGAAATGCTTTAAAAATTTGAAAAACAGTACTTTTATGACTTAAGTGAGGTTATAGCTAGATAGCTAGAATGGAGAAGGAAACTCAGAAGTGTATTATTGTGAAGATTGTATTCTTGCCACCATGCTAAACAATCTCAGTGTGAAATATTGTTAACCCTGAGCACTTTCCATTAGAAGGCTGAGAGAGCAAGCACACTTACCGCAGGTCCAGCACCTCCAGTGGGTCCTGCAATTCCGGGAGGACCTCCTTCTCCTTTTTCACCAGGAGCACCTCTTTCTCCTTTAGCACCAGGCTCACCATTTTGTCCCTGCAGTCAGAAACAGCAGCACCTTGTCAGTTGGCACCCTTGACTTATCATTATTTTTCTTCAGAAGATAGAATGCTTCAGAAACATGGACAATGAAGTAAGGAAAGAAGACTCACTGAAGACATGACAAAACAAAGTTCATCCGAATATTTCCATGGAAAAAGAAAACTAGCAATCAACTGTAATGTATGTATTATTTGTCACAGGGAGAAAGATTCTCCAAAGTTTATGCATTTGAAAATCAACCCAAAACAAACAAGTTGCCTTCTAGCTGATTCCCACTCATGGTGACCCCACACACGTCTGTGAAAAACTGTGTTGCATAGGGTTTGCACCAGTAAATTCATTTAAGAAAAATATGGCTTATAGAAAATTTTAGTTATATTATTTTATTACTAAAGAACTTTACAGTGCTGTTTAAAACTCATTACCTACACATAAAGGCAGATCAGGCATCTTTTATGGAGGAAGAATAAGGGTAAAGAAATAGATTCAAGGCAGGTCCAGAACTGACACTTAACTAATGAAAGATGATAATTCTGGACTATGTAACACACATGCTTCAATGTTCAGACTTACAGGAGCACCAGGGAAGCCAGCAGGTCCTGGAGGTCCAAGTTCACCTCTCTCACCCTGCAGAAACATGTCCTTGTTAGTCACACTGAGCACACATCATCTCACATAGCACATCATCTTTTCCTTTAGTCAAGAAATGTACAAAGTTAACAAATATAAGTTACAGTTTAACTTTTGAAGACTTCATTTGACAACAAATTATAGAATTGAAAACACCAAAGCCATTTATTCCTTCTACCTCTCATCTTACTTACAAGAAAAACAGTTTGATAACTGTGAAGTGACTAACTTCTAAAAATAAAATATCTTTAAATATGGCTAGAGTACATTGCAAAATCAATCAATTAATTAAAAGAATATTAACTACATATCTGTCCTTAAGTCTCAATGTCCTGAAGACAAAGAATTTTAAATCTAGACATAACTATAAGCACAGATCCTTTGCATTGAAGAAATATTTATTTACAAATATATATAGCTTATACAATTTTTATGCTTTCTTTTTAGGAGTTGAATAGTAAAGAAAGCATGATTTAATATTCTCTTTGGTGAATTTTTGATAGAAGAAAATTAACTTTTCCTTGCATGCCATATGGTCCCTAAAAAAAGTTCTCCAAATTTGAGGTTTAGGGAATCCTAAATCAGAACTGCTAAGGACAGAAACCTGAGTAGCTTCTGTTGGGGTGGGTTTAAAGGAACATGTTGAAAATGTCTTTCACACTTACAGGGCCACCACGAGGTCCCATTGGACCTGGAATTCCAGGACCACCACTTTCACCCTGGAAGAGAGAACAAGAATTAACATTATGGCTACTGTCTGGCATCTAACAAGCCAAAGACATTTTCTTTCCATTTTGCTTCCTTAGTAGTAAACATTACCTTATCTCCATTCTGTCCAGGTGGGCCAGGGGGACCAATGGGACCAACAGGACCCTAAAGAGAAGAGAAATATCATTTTAATATTGAATATTAGGAGCATCATTTTTCATATTAACTAAATAGAAATACATAGATATATTATTCATCTATTAAAATTACAAATAGGATTTTCCCCCCAGCTTGAATGATAAATACTTACTCTGAGAATAAATAATATAGAATTTATGTAAGATTGCATAAATATCATTGTGAAAGACAGTAGAATTCAGCAGCAATTTATTGATTTTTCTCTCTGTTCAGAATTAATTTTTTAAAAACTATTTTTAAAAATTGTTTTGCTCCACTCTTGATCATTCTTCAAAATGCTTCAATAATCCAGTTAAAGCACTACTACATGGGCATTTTTAATATTAAAGTTTTACTTATATTTCATAATTGAAATATTAGGCATCATTTTCTCTTTTTTTTATTGGGATGATGACTTATGGATCTAACCTTTCAGAAGTATTAATTAATTTCTCTAAGACAATTGTAATCAGTATAATAGGCATAAAATGGCTTGATTATCATGTTTCTTTGCTATAGTCCTACCAAGAAAATGTTTAATAATGTGAATATAAATGATTAAAATGTGATAGTTATTTTTTAATTTTTAGTTTTGAAATAGTTATAGAAATAAATATACAGGGAAGTCCTCTGGACCCTTCCCATAGCTTCCCCAATGTTAAATGTTAACAAAAAAACTAAAGTATCAAAATCAAGAAAATGGTATATTTCTGGAGTTTATTCAGATTTCATGCGTTGTACATACACTTATTTGTGTGTGTACCTGTAGCCTTACACAATTTTATCACAGGTGTGCCTGAGCATAACTATCACAATAATCAAGTACTCAACTGAACAATCACTACAAGGCTCCTTTGTGTCAGACCTTTATAGTCAAGCGAACTACTTTTTCTCTATCCTTAGACCCTAACAACTACTAATCTATTTTAGATCTCTAAAATTGACCTAGTTTATGAACATGAATGGTACACAATTGCACATTATGTCTTCTTTGAAGTCTGGCTCTTTTTTTTTTTTTCCTCAGAATAATTTCCTCAAGGTTATACAAGCTGTTGGATGTATAAATAGTCCATTTACTTTCATTGCTAAGTAATATTCCCTGGTATGGATGTATCACAAGATTACAGTGTCTTTGATAATAAATAGCATCTTAATGAACCAGACTGACTATCTTGGATTTTAATGACTCCTTATGACTTTATCTTGTAACCTTCATCTTGTTTTGAGATTTTTCCATTCCTAGATCACTATCAAACTATCAACTGAGAGATATAAACCAGGTATTTTAACAATCAAGACATGTGGGTCTTTTTAACAACCAAAGGTGATAAACTATGATCTAATTTATCAGTATTGTTTTAAATATAAAACAGTTGAGGTAATATAAAATAGTTGAGGTAACAATTGAGGTAGTAAGTAGTGTTTTATATGTAAAACAGTTTAGGTAACAGTTGAAGCCTGTTTCTCTTCAATGTAAATGTGTAGATACTCACCCTTGGGCCATCTTTCCCGGGAGCACCATCAGCACCTGAGCTGCCTGGTTCACCCTGTCCACAAAACCCAAAGTAATAGGATTATATTGTTACTGTCGGGTACCATTAAGTTGATTTTGACTCATAATGACCCCATGTGACAAAGTAGAGCTACCCCATAGGGTTTTGGGGCTTTAAGGGAGCCAATCACCAGATTTTCTTCTATGAGGCTGCTTGGTAGATTTGAACTGCCAAAGTTTTGATTAGCAGTCCATTTTCTTAGCCCTTGTTTCAGCAAGATTATAAGAAAATTATTTTGTTGTAGTTGTTAAGTGCCATCGAGTCGGTTCTGACTTATAGCAACCCTGTATAGGGTTTCCAAGGAATGGCTGGTGAGTTTGAACTGCCGACCTTGTGGTTCAAACTGACCTTGTGGTCCAGTGCTTTATCTTATAGCACCACACCAGGACTCCAGTAAGATTATAAACATATTCTATTAAAACCTGCCAAGTTGAGCAGTCCTTAAGATTTGCTGTGATGAACTAGTCATTCTGACAATTACTCTAAGAATACATTCCAGATTTCATAGAGCATAAAAAATAATTTTGAAAATTGATGACTTCCCAGTAGAGTATCTTCCCTTTAACCTATAAAGTCTGTTTTATTACCCAATAAGGAGAAAACAAGTCAGTACCTTGTCGCCTTTTGGACCTGAACCTCCAGGGCCTCCTCTTTCACCAGGCATCCCTTGAATACCAGGAGACCCAGGAGGACCAGCTGCCCCAGGAGTACCAGAAGGACCCTTAAATGAAAGGCAAAATATTAATCACAATAAGAATATGTTATACATTTTCTAAAATTGATATTAATTGAATTATGTGCAGTTACCTTTCCTCCTTCGGGACCAGGGGGGCCAACTCCACCTCTAGCTCCTGGGGTTCCTGGGGGTCCAGGAGCTCCACGTTCACCAGGGGCACCAGAGTCACCCTGTAGTAGGAAAATCCAGTAGCCACATTAGAAAAACTAAAGCATTAAAACAAAACAATAACACTTCAAGATGTATTATTTTGATGAGGGAAACTATGTTCCCAATGTTTATTTATGAACAGTTTGGATATTATTATAGTTATTAAAGAGCATATGGTTCACTTATTGGAAGAAACTTAAAAGAACTTATCTAATCAAGGAAACTTTAATTTCTTGTCTCCTATTTATCTTTGAAGCATTTACTATTATTTAATTCACAAGGGTGAATATTTTAAAGTTTTTTTACCAAAAGTTTTTCTTTTACAAAATTAGTACAATGCCATGATTTTCTATTTGAAAATTTCAGGCTCATAATAGATTCTATGGTGTTTATTGATGTCATAGAATTAGATTTTTCCTATTGAAGTAAATTTAATGGTTTGGAAATGTCTTTCAGTTTTCTTAAGTGTATTCACCAAACCATTGCAATGGTGCTTTTCTAAAGTGAGGATTTTGGTTTCATATAATAAGTATGTGTCACTAACAAAATTCTCTATACTTTGCTAAAGAAATTAGAGAATGGATTTAATGGCTTACCTTGCCTCCTGGAGTTCCAGGTGAACCAACGTCACCCTTTGGACCCTGAGAGATAAGCATTATATAATTAAATCTATGTAAGAATTCATGCTATAAAAATAAAAATGTAAGCAAAATGCACAGTTGACCTGTTTGCATATAATACAATTTTTCAAATATTGAAAGTAAATATCTTTCTTTAGTTACTTTTATTTTATGGTAAAACTGAAAATATCTGTGTAACAGTTACTCTTTAAATATTTCTTCTTTGTTTTGATAATGAACATTTCAATACTAAATGTTAAAACTCAGATACTATGGCAAGAGGAAACACAAAAGCTAATAATTAATAAATGATTACTACTCATTTTCCTGGTTGTTGAGTTTTGAAAAATGTGTGCAACTTACTGCTTCACCGGGTTTTCCGTTCTCTCCTGGGGGGCCACCAGGACCAGGCAAGCCCTACAAAAAAAAATCACGTTTGTACTGTATAATCACTCCAATCACTGTTAACCAGAAAACTTCTTAGATGTAAACAAGTTTCTACAACTGAGTATTTAATGGTTTTGGGGGTCTCTTTTAGGGATAGAAAAGTTGTGCTACTCAGAATTCAATCACAGAGACATGATAACCAAATCTTATAAAGCTATAGCCATTTTACTTTTTTCTTCCTGTTGCTGTTTTTAAAAATGAATGAATTAACCTAGCAAGATGAATTTAGTTATGTGAATTTATATTGCAATAAAACATCAAGAGAAAGCATATTAGTCTAATCAATTCTTTTAAACAGTATTAATGACATGGAAGATAGCTTTTAACAGTGTCCACCATTTTAATTCAAGATGAAATGTAAACTTAAAACATTAAGCTTAAGTAAATAGTAATCTAGTAGTATAACAACAAATTTGAACACTCAGCTAAGGCAACAAATAATGATAATAAAAGAAAGTATTCAGTTGTCTGATAAAAGAAGGTCCTAATATACATTAAAAAAAATCAGTCCTTACTTGTAATCCAGCTGGACCAGGGGGTCCTGTTTCTCCTTTGTCACCAGATGGTCCCTATGTAGAGAGGTAGGATGAGATGCTCCATTATCCACTGTATTTTCATATTTAATCTGTGCCACTTTCATGGCAGCACACCCATTTCTGAACTTTAAAAGTAATGGTGTGAAGAAGGGTTGTAGGAATGCTACAATGCAGACATGCACAACGCGAATTGAAATAAAGCTAGAATTTAGTTAACTAAGTAAATAAGCTTGCTTTGAAATTGGCTTGGTGATCAATAGTGATATAGTTTCCAAAATTATATAATTTTTGAAGTCTGCACCTTACCCTGTGTCTACCCTACATTTATCTCTGTTTTATGTGAATATACTTACCATTGGTCCTGGGGGACCATGAGGTCCAGTTTCACCATTTTTTCCAGCAGGACCCTAAAGTGAAAGAACAGTTAGAGAAGTAGAGGTAATAAAGGTAACAGATAAATCATATGTTTAGAGATCAGTGAGTACATTTTGTTGTTGTTTAGTGCTGTTGACTAAAAATACATTTATGAGAGCTATGTACCTGAGGTCCAGGTCCTCCAGGGCCACCCCGCTCACCATTCTTGCCAGGAGCACCCTAAAGGAGAAGCATCCAATATTTATGCATTCCCAAGAGTAAATCATGAATCATACTGTTCCCGCATATTTTTCATCTGCCTCCTCCACACATACACATACAGCTACAACTAAATACTGTTTTCTAGAGGTTGTTAGTGTTGTTGATTGCCATCCAACTGATTCTGACTCATGGGAAGTTTTAAAGCTAAACCTATGTAAATATCTCAGAATTCCCAAAAATGTATTTCAGTTCCCTTTTCACTGGCATTTTCATTTTCATATATTTTTCTGCTTCTTGAGGAGAGATCAAGTTTTGGCCAAATCTGCATTTCAATATGTAAATTAAAAAGTTTTTTTCTCTATAATTGTGTATCTAAGAAATTTATGAAGTAACTCACATCATTTCCTTTAGGACCAGGGAAACCCATGACACCAGGCTGACCTCGGGGACCAGATGGACCTGGAGGACCTGGTCTGCCACTTTCTCCTTGACTTCCCTAATAAGAAAAAAGTCACATTAATAAAGGTTTAGTAAAGATCTGACAAAAATACACAAATTACATACATACATGCAGTCTGTATTTCATTAAGTCTGTGAAATGAAATGTTTTAAAGTACATACTGGAGGTCCTGGTTTCCCATCACTGCCTGGGCCTCCTGGGCTTCCGGGCATGCCCTGTATTAAAAAAGTCAGTCAGTAAGTTGATTAATATTATCTCTTTAAAAAAAAATTGTACTGAAAAAATTTTTGTTTTGAGATTTTCACTTACATGTGCAACCCCATATTTTCATATATTGTCTTATGTTTATCAAATGTCTTCATCAAGTGCTCTACTTTCTGTTCTTTATTCATCTATTCTAGTTTGTTTTCTTTAAATAATTTTGTTTGTTTTGTTTTTAACCTTACAAAGGTATAGTCTGACAAGTTATCTTTGATCCTCCTTCATTCACTTTAATCCTTACAATATGAAAATGTCTTTCAAGCAAATGATTTAACACACCCTCATTCCTGGACCTCCGGGTTGACCATCTCGGCCTGGTTCTCCACTAACTCCTCTTGTCCCTGCAGGACCTGGACCACCACGTTCCCCAGCAGGCCCCTATGTGTTGAAATAAATGAATGGATATTTAAAATAGGTTTTATTGACCTAGACATTGACAACCTTTATAATAAAAGAACTTCATTTTTTCTTAAAGAGTGTTGGTGTGTAGCTAACATGATAGGTATAAATGACAGTTATCTATTAGCTTAAAGAGTGTTGGTGTGTAGCTAACATGATAGGTATAAATGACAGTTATCTATTAGCTTGTATTGCCATAGTAGACAAATCTTAAGAGGACTACAATGAATATCTTATGCTTTGGAAAAAACATTATTTAGTTGGCTTAACAACATATGTCTGTGCATATAAAAGTTAAATATCTACTTATGATATAGACTCATATTTGCATATCACTTTAGAGTTTTCAAGAACTTTTAGATATTTTTATATATGTATTCTTTCAATGATGCTAAGATAAATACTTCCTAAATGGCATGTAAGTTACAGGATTTTGAGAGCTTGGCTTACTTTAGTTATAAAGACAGGAAAATGAATGACCAAAGTTGGAAACATTGTTTTACTTAGGAATTTTGTTTTCTAAACTATGATGTATGTCTTTCAGAAATTAAAGGTTTCATTCATAGGAAACTTTATAGAATAAAGTGTTAACTTGTTGCAGTTACAATTAGGAAAATGGAAAATAAAGTTATCTACCTTTTCTCCTGGAAGGCCGTTTGCTCCAGGAGGTCCTCGGAATCCAGGGGCACCCTGAGGATAATGAGAGCCATGTATTTGATTCCAAAGTATTCAAAGTTTTCCATGATTCTTGAGTAGCATTATACTAGAATTCGTTTAAAGCAATAGTTGGGCTTAGATACTCATCTTGAGATAAATTATAGTTGACTGAAGGTGGCATTTATAAGGATGACAGTGATTTTGTTTTTCTGTTAGATGCCTCCATGGAAACATACCCTTTCTCCTGCAGATCCTGGAAGTCCATTTGCACCAGGCTCTCCAGGAGAACCGTCTTTGCCATCTTCACCCTTAGGCCCTGGAATACCTGGAGAACCAGCTTCCCCCTAAGAAAGGATGTCACAATAGAGGGATAATGACTGAACTTGATTGCAAGAATGTTTTCATGTTTACTTCCTAATTATATGTTTCATTTTTCTAAGAGATAAGGACATCTGGTGGGGAGGATTACTTACGCGTTCACCACGTTGTCCTGGTTCTCCTTTGGCACCATTCTTACCCGGTTCACCCTAAGTGAAATGAAATTTGGGCTCAAAACAGGTAAGAAAGATGAATGAAATTATCCCCAGTAATATGTTTCATTTACAGAAACAGAGTGAAAATAATTATAAATTCAACAGAACATGAGGAAAATAATGGCAATTGTTTTTCTTCTTGTAGGAATTAAGCCACATCTTTTATGTACTTATTTATTAATATGAAAAATGAACCACAAAGTTTGGAATATGACCAATATAACATAGAAACATGAATAATGAGGAATAACATTTATCCTCCAAACCACCCTGCATCTTTTAGGCATCAAAGGAAAAATAGGCAACTTACTGCACCACCACGAAGTCCAGGAACACCATTAGTACCAGCTGGTCCTGGAGGACCCCTAGGTCCAATCAGTCCTGGAGCTCCAGGAATGCCAGAAGGACCCTAAAAATAACCCAGTAACACTAACATTAGCCACACTTGACTTCTGAATGCTTAACTTGAGCATTGCAAGTCTATCATTAGGCAAAATAAAAAGGAAACCATGAATGTATGTGTGGACACATACCATTTCACCTTTACCACCAGGACTACCATTACTCCCAGGGGGGCCCTATGGGAAAGAAGACCATATCAATAATAATGCAAGTAGCACACACATATTTGAAGTTGTTTACGTGTTGGTAAGAAATTTACTAGTGAATAAAATGCTTTCTAGAAAGTGGGTGGTTTCTCCAGCTATAAAAATAATGGCAAAGAGATTTATCATTGTCTGAATACAGTAAAGGTGCTATGCACTTGGTTTACATTGTTAATCAATAAATTAATAAGAGATATTTTTGGTCATTTCTTCCCTTAATTATTATGACTGGCAGTTAGTTCAGGGAATGTTTTACAGTGTCTGATAACTTTTCCATCCTCCACTTTATTCTGTGTCAAATAAGCATAAAATTCATAAATTCAAGATGTATAAACCTCAAAACTGACCACTTTTTAGTTTAAATCAGATCAGTATTTATCAGTTAGTAGAATCATTGCAGCACACTTATCAATATGTATTTTTAAGTAGATCATTTTAACTACCAGCAGCAGTAAAACATATGCTGCCTAAGTGTAGATCCATTCTCACTCTCAGCTGACTATGTGCTACTTACAGGAGGCCCTTGAGCACCAGCGTGTCCCTGAGGTCCAGGTTCTCCTCTTTGTCCAGGAGAACCACTTGAACCAGGAGACCCTGCAGGTCCAACTTCACCCTAAGAAATAAAACCTTAAGAAGTCACTTTCTTTTGCCACTTCAAATCACTAAACCAGCTTACTCTTCAGTCTTGTTTAAACCCATTTCTCCCAAAGGCTGAAGTAGTATGACTATATTCTGTAACTGAAGTGAGGAATCATTAATCAAGAGGGCAGAGAAAACTGACAAATACAAAAACTGTTTTGGGGCTTCAAAACATATGTGGAAAATTCCATTTATCCAAAAACTTTGTGGTCCCCTTGTATGTGTATGTGCTTTGCAATTTTCTCCACTTCCTAAAAAGAAGAGGACAGTCAGGAGAGCTGAATGCTTATAACACCAGCTTTCAAATCAAGAACAAGGTTTTAAAGATCTTTATAGATTAAAACATCATTTAGACTGGCAAGAAAAAATCATTATCACGAAGCAATTCACTATTCTTTTATTGTTTATAAGATATCATATTATATTCTTCTATAAAGAAATAAAAATTTATGACCACGGAGTCAATTCCCACTAATAGTGACCCTGCAGAGTAGAAGTGCTCCATAGGGTTTATCTTTAAGGGTTGTAATCTTGACAGAAGCAAACTGCCACATAGGTCTCCCACACATCAGCTGGTGGGTTTGAACTGCTGATCTTTCGGTTAGCAGTGGAATGCTTTAGCTACAGCACCACCAGGGCTCCTATCCTACTATGTTATCGTTGTTGTTAAGTGCCCTCGAGTGGGTTCCAACCCATTGCAACCCTGTATAGGGTTTTCGAGGAGCAGCTGGGGGGTTTGAACCACCAACCTTGTGGTTAAATCACCCTTGCAGTTGAGTGCTTATCCAACAACCACACCAGTACTCCATCCTTCTATGGAAACATATACTTACCTTAGCACCAGGGGAACCAGGGAATCCCGCTGTTCCAGGAGGACCAGGGGGGCCCTGCAAAGTTAAATGCAATTTAAAGAGCCCTTAATATAAATTAAAACTCACCCATACATAAAACAGAAGGCATTTGTGCACATTAATTTTGCAGAATATCCAAACCCATTACTATCAAGTTGATTCTGACACATTGCTACTCCAAAGGACAGATAAGAACTGTCCCATCGCGTTTCCAAGGCTCTAATCTTTTTTTGGAAGTGGACTGTCAGATCTTTCTCCTGGCAGTAATCAATTGTTCATGGATGACTATTGTTTGGAAAAATAATGTGCAAAATAAAAAGAGTGAAATATAAAGTTAGAAAATACGAGTTTCCAATGACATTTGTCATTAGTTCTATAATTTTGTGTAGGTAACTTAGTCCTGAGCATTTGTGCTCTCCTTTATTAAATAAAGATAACATTATGATTTATTTTTCAGAGATGTTTAAATTTTCATATCCAATATTGGATACTAACTAGTATTGTAAGCACCATACAGGTGTTAACAATTAGTCAAGCATGTTTAGGAGTATCAGAGTCTAGATTTTGTTTATGGGGTCAGTACCAGTTGCAATCGAGTATTTATTGACAATGTTGAGTGTATGTTCTATTGTTGTTGTTGTTGTTAAGTACTGTGGAGTCAGGTCTGACTCACAGGGACCCTGGACAGGGTTTCCGAGGTTGTAAATCTTTACGGGAGCAGAAAGCCTCATCTTTCTCCTGTGGAGCAGCTGGTAGTTTTGAACTGCTGACCTTAAGGTTCGCAGCCCGATTCGTAACCACTACACTACCAGAGCTTCTTGTATGTTCTATAACCATATGTGTATATATATAGAGAGAGGAATCTAAGATATATATAGATTCCACAATGAACAATCTCTCATTACCCTAGAGCAAATTAGGGTTAGCTAAAATGTTACTTACCGGTTGGCCATCACTACCTCGAGCACCATCATTGCCTCGAGACCCCTAAAAAGAGAAGTTTGTTTCAAATATTTTCTTAATTCTGACAGATTTATCACAGTTAAAATTCTGACTAACATTCTGAGTCAATTAAATTGAAATTTTCTGAGGAATATTAAAATCTGATTTTTAGAGTCAGATTATAAAAATTCTTATCTAGACAGTAATATTCTAAAGTATGTGCATTAGATTCGGTATTAAAGAACTGAATGTGAATTATGGTTTTACTAACATATGCAAATAAAAAAATTTAAAAGATACTAATTATAAAACATATATGTTTTTCCCTATAATTATGGCCAAAATTATATGACTCTGCATATATTTTTATAGAAAGAACATTGTCCTGCAGACTTTCACAGTTTGGAGATACAGCTGAGGGGTCTATATTTGCCACTCAAGTTGTGTCATTGGTCAACTTCGGTGATGATACTCACTGCAGCTCCAGGAAGCCCAGGTCGTCCCCGTTCACCAGGAGTTCCTCTTGGACCCTGGAAAATAAAACCAAAAGTAGAGTTTTACTTTAAAGCCTGTAAGAGCATGATTTGTGAAGAGGGATGTGATCAGTAAAACTGAAAACTGTATGTATGGAGGGAAGGATAATTACCATTGGTCCAGGAGACCCATTTTCACCAGGAAGACCATTTTCACCCTAGATAAATAAAATATTCTATTATTTCATGTAATAAGACAAGTATTTTTATAGATTTTAGACACATATTATGAATATTATGGAGCTTCACGTAAAAGTACATTTTAACCACTCAAAATTCTGTTCACACTTTATTTTAATTTCTGCATCTTAAAATTTTGAGAATAAATCAGGTGATCAATGGCCCTCTCTGAGATGTTCAATATCAATTTAGCTTCCATGGAAGCTTTTGACTCTATCAGTCATCATTATTCATCTTCTAGAGGCAAAATTCAGGTAATTTCAGAAAATGTTTAACTCCAAAATATGAATCTTAAATAAATTAATACAATTTGTAAAGGAACTAATTTATGAAAAGATTTTTTCTTGTGATTTACCTTTAACCCAGGAGCACCTGTATCACCCTTTTCTCCATTCCGTCCATCAAAGCCCTATGAAATGCATGAGGATAGTAAAAATTATTACAATAGGTTAATCATCCAGATGGCTTAATAAACTTTGCACTGAATTTTTCATACATAGTTTTTACCACCCAGCAAAATTTTTAACTTTGACTTAAGTAATTTAAAAAAATTTTTAAGTTCACTGAAGATATTTGACATTTATGTAACTGCAAAAAGATATGAATTAGTTGGAAAGTATAAGTTCAACTAGGAAATTACTTTAACTATAGAATAAGAAACATCAGCTTCAAATATTTTATTTCAATTAAGTTGCTAGATATTTGGGCAATTGGTTGAGTCTACTTAATGTTTTAGAATAGAATAAAGCTGCAAGACTTAATAAAAAAGCAGCATTATTAATAATGTTTTCATTGTTTCTGGTAATGATGATAAGAAAACTGTTATACTTTGTCAAAGATTTCCATACATTTCAGTACAAAGTTAGTTCGATCATTTTGCATAGAACAGGTAATTGGTTTGTTAAAAATATAAAATCGATAGACTTATTGCACATCTGTTCAAAGATGTTGTTGTTGTTATGTACCGTGGAGTTGGTTCCGACCCATAGCGACCGTGTACAGGGTTTCCGAGGTTGTAAATCTTTATGGGAGCAGAAAGCCTCATCTTTCTCTTGCAGAGCAGCTGGTAGTTTTGAACTGCTGACCGTGAGATTAGCAGCCGATTCGTAACCACTACGCTACCAGAGCTCCTTCAAAGATTCAAAAATTACCATTAGCTAAATGTCAACATATTTTTGAATCACGGAAAATTGGGTGTGAGAATCAACCATTCTGAGGACATTCTGAATTGTCTAGTGAAATTGTCTAGGCAAATAAAGATAGGCAAATGGGACAGATTCTAATCAATGTAGAAAGCGCTACTTACTCTGTGTCCTTTCATACCAGGGAATCCAGGCATGCCGGCAGGACCTTTGATACCCTAAAAATAATTAATAGAAAAAATATTAACTACCTTCAAACAGAATCAAAATCTAGTATCAAAATGATTTCTAAATTTTATTGTATAATAAATTTCAACTAAGGTAATTGCGATTGTTCCAGCTAATTCATTGGATGCTGAAGACTTACCGGAGGTCCAGGCAGGCCTCGCTCTCCAGGTCTTCCTGGTCTACCTGATTCTCCCTAAGTGAAGAAATAGAGATACATAGGTGCTTGTGTATGAAAAAATATAGACAATTAAGGAACTAATCACTTTACATTTTTCTAGACAATGCCTACTCAAAATAGTTGGACTAAAGGTACAATAGAAGAAAAGTACATCGTACAAGGAATGAGGGCTTCTCCCATCTTGGAATAAACTTATAAAGAGATAATGTGGATGTCTCTCCTCACTAATACATTATAACTATCCCTCAACCCAGTGAGAAGAATTTGCTATTGTAAATTAAATGTGAAAGATTCAATTGTTGTTGTTATGTGCTGTGGAGTCGATTCCGACTCATAGCGACCCTGCACAGGGTTTCCAAGGCTGTTAATCTTTATGGGAGCAGAACGCCTTATTTGCAAAATATTAAAAATCCTTAAGCGTTTTCAACTTCATAAGATAGTAATATTAGTTTTTTCCTTATAATAAGCAGAGAGAAGAAACTTATTTCTGCCCTAGTAAGTGTCTGACTAAATCTTCTCAAGATAATTATGAAGCACATTTGGGAATTCTATTAGTCTAGAATTCAATAAATGGCATATCTACTATGAATATATTGTACATATATTCAAAAATGAATATGAGCTAAAATGTTGTTAAGGCAATGACAATTTTTAACTAAGGTTTTCTCTTTGAAATTCTGGCAAATAGTAACTATTGGTTTGAATATTCCAAGCTGAACTTTGTTGTATCTGCATTCAATCCTTAAAAACTTACATCTTTTCCAGCAGGACCAGGTGCACCTAAACTACCAGGAGGACCTGGAGGGCCCTGAAAAGAAGGAAATAATTAAAACATGCAACAGCAACATCAAAACAAAAAACAAATACATTTTTAACTTTTTCTGCCACATCAAGACTTTATTATATATTATGTGTATTCTTGGAAGGAATCTTTTTTAGAAAAATATTTTCAATGATCATCATGAAAATGAGAGAGTTAATATTATACCTAGATTATATCTAATATTTACTGCCTGTTATTACTTACTGCAGGACCAGCTTGTCCATTTTCACCAGGGGGCCCTTGGTATCCTGGAGAACCCTAGAGGATTGAATAATAGGTTAATATTTGAAGGCAACATAATTGCCTAATGGTCATGTACATCATTAAGGCAGTAAGAAATCAGGGTACTCTGCTAGTGTAGATAGCTGATTTGATTGCACTTTGCAGATTGACCTATTTTTCTTTTCCTAACCAGAATAAAGTTAATCTATTCCAATCCACTCCATTGTATTACATTACACTGAAAATGATTTGTTTTGAACTTGAAGTTATATAACAATTAAACATGTGGCTTACTATGAGCAAGCTTTTAATTGCTAATGGTTGTTAATGGAAGGACATTCAAACAGAATTTTAGCATCTTTAAAGGAATGATCAGTTTTTGGGTTAGGGCTTATCTAATTATTTGTAACTATCCATGTTGGGAAAGGAAAAATTAAAATAGGAATTCATAATAACTGTATTTATACAATATGCATGAAGAAGAAAACAGCACTAAGGACCATACTTACAGGGGAGCCAGGATGGCCAGAAATACCAGGAGGACCAGGAGGGCCTGGGGGACCCTGGAATGTAAATTTGAAAGGTAAATGCATTTGAAGTATGTTTTATTCATGCATCAAGGAGATGTCTCTGTTTAGGATTGATATTGGCATCTTAAAAAGAGAATAATTTATTTCATTACTTTATAACTATTCATGAATACGTAGTTTTGTGAGCTCTAAATTAAAATTTCACATAACCAGTTAAAATTACTGCTAAGAAATTGTTAAAAATATTTTTTTTGATTTGAATAACCTCAAAAGATGGCTTCAAAATATGAAAATATCAGTACAAAGTGATACAAGAATCTCTGCAATATTAGGGTGATACTGGTATTGGTGAAGAACCAATGTTTACTAGGAAAACTCATAGCAAAAAATGTTGATTTGCTTACTAAAAAGAAAATCCCATTATCCAATTTTCTCTAAGAGTGATATAAATGAATCAAAATGCATAAATATATTGATACAGATGTTACAGAGTTACATGAGCATGAAAATTTCATAAATAGAATCATGGCAATTTCAAGTCGTTGTTTAGAAATAGAGATTAAAGTAAAAAATACTTTCAGTGTTTTAGTATGTTATTTATAAATTCTGATAATAAATGAATAAAACAGTGATTTATAACTAAATATTATCTTGTAATCTCTTCTTTGATGTCAAAATGTGGTATCTTTATGTATTTATTTGGTTTAGTTTGGTGTGTTCTCAATGGATAGCTGAATGAAAAAAACATAATCCATAATGAGATTATAGCCAGGTTAATCCCAATGTTCACCTAGATTAATAGAATTCTCTTGGGTTTGAAAGATATACATAAAAAATTTACAGCCTCTAAATCAATAGAGGTTTATAAAGTTTTCTCTTTCTAGTTTAATTCACAGTAATTTTAAGCTACTTTTGTCAGTTGTACCTAATAGCTAAAGTTTTATCCTAGTACTTTTAGAAATCACAAACATGAGACCCAATTATCTTGACAGTTATCCTTCATATCCTAGAGAATCCAGTACAACTACCATGCTTTCATATATATGTACATAACTGTTACATGTAATGCAAAATTTCACCTGCCACTTCATCACTCTTCCAGAGAGGTTGTGCTCTAACATGGCTCATTGACATGGGATACCATGCTTCATGTGCATGCACACAGGTTAAAATGGTTTTTGATATTTTCTTCTATCAAAATTTTCATTCCATCAAAAAGTTAGTCAAATTTTCACCAAAAGAAATCCTTCATATACTATGTGAGCATCTGCCTTATAAGGTAAATGGATTTAATGACTCAGGGAATTCAAGAACTATGTATTTGATTTGAAGATTGGAAGTGAGACAGATTGTTATACTGGCTATTCATCACGTGGATGGGTATCTAGAAAGCAGCATTTAATACATGAAAAGGCATCAAGAAAGGCTTCTGAAAAGCTTAGTTGAATAAAAAGAAAAGTAGAAACCAAAAATAAATTTTAGTTTAAAAGTAAGGACTGTATAAGAGTGTGAGATCTAGCATGAAGGCTGATGGGTCCCCAGAATACAGAGGTGGAGTGTCAAACCAGTCATGAAACAAGAGGTGGTAAGCAAATAATGAGTTAGGAGAGAAAATGGAACATGATAATGTCACCACTTTGGCGGGGGGGCATAATCTCAACAATTTTGTATTCCTAAAAGAATCATCAACCAATATTTAACAGACTTGAAGGTTAATAAATACTCTAAAACACTGAGAAACATTTGTACATACAGCTGGCCCAGGATAGCCTCCTATTCCTCCTCCTCCACCAGCCTTGACATCATATGAATCAAACTGAGGAGAATAGTTCTGTAGCAAAGAGACCAGAGAGAAACAAACATATTAGCATGTAGCTCATAGTTCTTTTCAAAATAATTTAGAAGTACAATACCTACTATTCACTGATAGTTTCTACATGACAGAGGATGTGATATGTATTGGATACATTATGTATCTTGGTTATTCTGTTTATTTGCAGCTTTGGATATTAGATATCATAAAGAAACACAAGTCTTTCAAGTAACTCTATGCAGTGATAATTCTAAATAATTTGTTCTTACTGCTACTTAAACAACCATTTCTAAGCAATGCCTTTTACATTGAAAACATAGAAACATAATCTGTTTGAGCTTTGAAGGAACTTTGATATTATATAATGTAACCTTGTCATTTAGAAAACAAATGGAGAAGTTAAATGACTTTCCCAACTGCTTACTGACCTAAATGAATTCTATGTTCCATAACTTTTGATTGTTATGATTCACCTTAAAATAAAAATTCTCAAAGACAATATGCACAATAATGACTGAAATGCTTATAGGATTTTTTGGAACTTATTTTATTTTGAATGCTGGGACTAGTGGTGGATATTCTCTCTCTCTCTCTCTCTCTCTCTCTCTCTCTCTCTGTCTCTCTCTCTTCGTATTGGAGTAAGAATAAGCTAGATGATATCCTTCACTTCTTGTTTAATGGATTTTTAAAAGACATTTTATTATAACCATGTGTTTTCTGATTCATCCTGAATTCATGCAGCACAAATTTACTTGTATTTATGTTTTTATGATAAGTAAGCTGATTGCCATGCTATGCAGGAGGAGTAGGAAGTATGTGCCCTGAAATCTTATCAAAGCAATGGTACAGGTAAGAATACTGCTGTTGACTTGAACTCAGCAAAGAATGTCCATAGTTTTTCAACTGCCCATTGTCCAAACTTTCAAGTCTTTGCCAGTGGAGTTGAAGAGGAAGTAGGGAACAGTTGCAATGATTTCTAAATTCTCTAGGTTATTTCTTTTGGGAGTTGAAAGTGTATTTCTCAAACATGGTACATATGTTTTATGTCTTTGAGAAGATGGAAATTTTAGGATTTGGCAGTATCTTTGCATTATGAAGGAAAATGAACATTTATACAGCATTTAGTACCTGACATATATAAGCACTAAATTATAATTTATTAAAGCCTAAAACAAGAGACCAGATGAAGGAAATCCACAAATGTAATATGCAATATAATCTAACTAAAGAAAAGAAGATGAACTAGGTAGTTTTATACAGGTGGTATTTTACTTCTGGAATTGATTACCTGACCACCGGGAGGACATGATTGACAGATTCCAGGGGCACCGGGAGAACCAGGGGAACCTGGTTGTCCAGGAATACCAGGGTCACCATTTCTCCCAGGAATACCAGGAGGACCCTAAAAACAAACAAACAAAAATCAGAGAGTAAAATAAATAAATCAGTGAGAAGCTCTGGTAATTCAGGATCATTATCAGTGTGTGGCTTCCCTTCTTGGTAAGAGGAAGAATCACTGTTTAAGTGACATATTTTCTTGGGAGCAAATATATTTTATCTAACTCATGAGAATAAATTAATTGCAATTTATCATTTTCAAGGAGTCCTGAAGACACAATGGTTAAAATGTTGGGATGATAACTAAAAGGCTGGTGGTTCAAACACCCGAGTTGCTTTGCAGAAGAAAGCTAAGGCTGTGGGTTTCCATGAAGATTTACATTCATCTTCAGAAGCTCTGGGGAGCAGCTCCACTCTGTTCCGTAGGGGAACTCTGAGACTTGACAGTAGTGGGTTCGGTTTGGGTTTTCTTATTGTTGTTTCCTTTTGACTTTTATTTTCACACTGATTATGAAGATGAAAAAATTTGATGAAGCTTGGGAAACTGGAATCTTTACATGTACAAATAAGGACTCTGTCATTTTATGCCTTTATTTAAATATGTGATATGAAAGAAAATGTATCAATCCTGAAAGTTCAAATCTGGGAAGGATATGACAAGAAAAAAAACAAAACAAAACAAAAAAATCACAACAAACTACTGCAAGAATAGCCCACATGCATTTAATTTCATTAAAGAATCTTTACTTACTGGATCTCCCTTGGGACCTTGAACACCTTGACCATTAGTAGGGCGAGTAGGCTAATAGAAATGGAAAAGACGCACATTAAAATAGACATAGGAATAACTTTCCCATCAAGTTTGGCCCAATTTAAGTATTTATTTCTTAATCCAAATCACATTTAATTCCTAGTTTTAAATAGGAACTTTCATCTTTTACTTGTAATATCAGTGTAACTGTTTGGTAGACACGACTTTATGTTTTCTGTCAAGCTGTTAATGACCAAGAATAACTGAACAGTGGATATTTTTACAATAAAGAATCCATTTGTAAGCATGGAGAACCAAATAATTCCTAAAATTTATTACATACTATCTGATATTTATTACACCACATGATGTTTTACATTGTCCATCTTCTTGCTGTGTGTGTGAGTCCATCTCTTGACTCTACCAGATTTCTCACAGGAAAGATGGGCATATTGCTCAAAAGCTAGACATGCTATTTTTGATGTCATTGTTGTTCCAATAAGTGAGACAATAAAATTGGGTCAGTAGCCCTAGCTATCTCTATTCTGAATGCTAGCTGGTAGCCCAAATTAGCTCTTCTTTTTAACATTTAAAAATACACAGGGAAACAAAATTAGGTGCAAATTATTATAGTATATTTCTGTTCATATTCGTTCTAGATTTCAATAGAACTGAAAGTGTACCTCAAATAGCCATCTTTTGCCTAAGTTTTTCTTCTTAGTTTTGAAATTAAACATTTGCCAAAGGAAATGTAAAGTTTGCATTATTACATTTTCCTGAACGATAAGGCTCTTTAGACTATGAAACACTAGAAGCATTTAAGCAATGATGTTTATATTAATTATATCACTGGAGGCAATTTAAACTAAAGCTATTTTCCCCAATGTATTTGGACATTTCATTAAGAAATAAAATATCATATTCAGCAAAACTTTTACTCAAAAGGATGATATTTCCCAAATGAAAGTGATGATTAAGAGATACATTAGCAATTGTTGTTGTTGTTTTTATGTGCCAATTGGAGTCGTTTCCGACTCACAGCGACTTTGCTTACATTACTCTAAATACCTATTGAATTATTTATAAGTAAATAAGACAAGGCAATGAAAGAATGAATTGAGCCAAAGATTGTTACACAGCCTAAGTATGATATTGAAGCTATCCATGTGAATATGCAATATTTGCATATTTGCATTTAAACATTTCAAAGTAACTTACAGGTATTGGTGGCTGTGGGCAAACTGCGCAACATTCTCCAAACGGAATCTCTGGGTTCGGGCAATCTAATATCTGTTCATCACACATTATTTCATCACAGAGAACAGCTCCTGAGTCACAGACGCATATTTGGCATGGTTCTGGCTTCCAGACATCTCTATCGGCATAAGCCTGACCAAGATGGGAGCATCCTCCGGTAACGACTGGAGAAGAAATGAGATGACATGACATTTTCTGATGTTTATCTAAAATGTGATTTATATTATGCTGTGGTGACTATGTTCAATGGCTATCCAAGAATAAGTCTCTTTTAAATTAGAAAACTGGCGAATCTTGTCTATCAGTTTGCCAGTCTAAGAATGCATGGACAAAAATAAATCTCTTACTTCTTGGATAAGAGTTTAAACATTCTACCTCGAATATTCATTTAAGGAATGAAGAATAAGCTCTTTTAAAGATTCAGTTGTGTATGTTTGGATCTCTTTGTTTTAAGCAGAAAGTGTGGATATTCATTTTCACAAGCCTTTCTAAAGCATTGTCTATATCTTTTAGAATATATCATATTTCTTGGAAACTTTAAGAGATTAGAGCTATTATTTAAGAACTTGCAGCACAAAGCCTGAGTGTGAACTTAGGCTTTGACCATACACAAACCATATTTTCAAGCTTAGCAATCCAATGCAGAGTTATTTTAGAACAAATATTTTCTTCTTCTTTTCCGTAAACTATGATGGTGGTGGTGGTTATGTGCTGTGGAGTTGGTCCCAACTTGCAGCGACCCTGTATAGAGTTTCTAATGCTGTAAATCTTTAGGGGATCAGAAAGCCTCATCTGTCTTCCACGGAACAGCTGGTAGTTTCGAACTGCTGACCTTGAGGTTGGCAGCCTAAATCGTAACCGCTACGATAGTTAAAAAATGCTCAAAATCCCAAACCTATTTATTAAATATATCAAATATTAGTATGCCGTAGAAACAGTTTTGAGGTACCAATAGGAGTCCTGGTGTAGTGCTATGTTAATGAGTTGGATTGCAAGGTCGGTTTGAACACAAAGGTCGGTGGTTCAAGCTCACCAGCAGCTCCTTGGAAACCCTACACAGGATCGCTTTGAGTCGAAACCGACTTTACGCATTTAACAACATGTTGTTGTTGTTAAGTACTGTTGAGTCCATTCTGACCCATAGCGACCCTGTGTAGGGTTTCCAAGGAGCAGCTGCTGAGCTTGAACTGCTGACCTTGCAGTTTAAACTACTTTGCAATATAGGTGAGTTAATTTTGTTTAATAAGAACTTAATACTCATTAACATCACACAAGTACTTAAACATGCACTTGTTGATTGTACAGTTGAAGAGTAGCCTTTCTACCTAACTGCTATGTTTTGCTTTAACTGTAGATGGGATCATTAAATAAAAAAGATGAGTTTGCCACTATGAAGAGTTTCTGGGTTTTATTAACCTAGTTGAGAAATTCAGGGGAAGACTAAGCTACTCTTGGCAGCATAAAAATTATTTCCAGATTTTCCTGGGAAAACTGTAACAAAGCTTGTTGCATGTATTGAATGTTACTATGAGCTCTGTTGAGTATTAGTAGGTCAACACACTGCAGTTTATTTAGTGTATTGTAGATCCCTAGTGATATGAAGAGTTTTCTAAATCACAAAAAAAGAAGAAAAGAAAAAGAATTTTGTTTCTTAAAAAATTAGAAAAACAGAAAACAAAGCAAATATTGGCAAGGAATAAGTAAAAATAATAGGAAAAAATATGAATCATTACTTACCAAGCATACTTGTGGCTTAACATGGTAAAAAATTTTACTTCAACTAAGCCTTGCCTCCTAATTATATGTTAGGTACTGAAATATCAGCAGCTATTAACAATGAATCAGCTTAGGGTTTGCCAACATAAAACCTGGTCTCAATTCACAAAGTATTAGCTGTGGATTGTGGTTAAATACAACTTTAGTTCTTAAAGATTACTGTGATAGCTTACCAGTAATTGAATAAACAATGTTTCTAAACATCTGCACAAATGTTTGCAAACAATAAATGATATATACTAGTCAGTATTTTTATATTTTTTTGAGACAGTAATATTTGATTTTCTCAAAACCAACATCTTTGTAATGTCTGCTGAAGGCATTCTGCTTAGGAGGAAGCAAGTAGTTTGTGTTGCCTTGTAGCCAACACTTTGTGTTGCCTTGTAGCCAAATGGTCTTCAAGTGGGTCCTGAGATTTTCCATCTGGTTATTACATACAGTCATGGCAATTGCTTTTTAAAACTCCTGCTTGAATCTTCTCTGAATGGTTTAAAATTTTAGCTGGTTTGTAAAATTCATGAAGGGAAAAAAAAAAAAAAAAGAATCTATAGAGAACCAAAACCGCCACAACTTTAGTGACTTTGTACAACATCTCAATTGATCCAGGGAGTTTAAAAGTCCATTTAAACTCTGGGTTGCAATTTCCTAATGTGATTTACAGCTAATAAAAGAGATCAAGATGGCTTTATTGCAGTTCCAAATAGTCCAAAGATGATCTGTTTATGTAGTAAAATTTTTCTAGTTCCTTTCCATGTTTGACACAGATAGGTTAGAACATTGGAAAGGAATATTGTCTAAGTTTTTATAAGAGCAATCCTTTATACTTCAGTGGACATAAAAGTCGAATATCAAAATGCATACTTTAGTGCAAGTTAAGTGGATTTTTGAATCATGCAATGGAAGATGTATTTAAGAAAGAACAAATATTTTCTTTCATAGTACTATAAGCAGTGATAATATCAGAGGGTCTAGGCATGAAAATCATTTGTTCTATAAGGAGAACTGAAATCTTATATTTAAAAACCACATCTATTGATTTGAGGAAAAAGACTGAACGTTTAATAACGTGAATGATTGTTTGTTGTTGTTAAGTACCGTGGAGTCAGTTTTCTTTAGTAAGTTGAAATGCTATGCATTTATTGACCTTTGTTTTGGTTCCTTAAAATTAATCTTCTTAAAAAAATCTCTAAATAAAATTTATAAGAAATGTTCCTGCAGATTCGCTTTAGATCAATAATTTGAACCCATTAATAATCTGAACTATGAACTTTCCCCACTCCTAAAATACTACTAGTTCTTCATCTTCCTTTAGTTCTCCATCTCTGTGAATTGGGAATCTTTCTATGTTTATACAGTACCTGTGTCATTAAAAAATGAGCTGCTGAAAACTGATGGCAAATGAGGAATTAGTTAAATTCAAGCATCTCATTAAAAAATATCTACTCTTCCTATGTTCCTAATATGCCTTGAAATTAATATAAGCCTTTGATATCCTGTACATTCAACTTCCTGAGCTATGTCTCCTGAAAGAGTCATCACAATACTGTTGTTGTTGTTAAATGCCACTGAGTTGGTTCCAACCCATAGAGACCCTGTATAGGATTTCCAAGGAGCGGTTGGGAAGCTTGAACAACCGACCTTGCAGTTCAAACTGGCTTTGCAGCCCAGCACATTAACCTTGTGGTCATTAAAAAAAAAAAAAGAAAGAAAATGAAAACACTGTACATCATGATATAAAACATTTTCCTTTTGCTCTATTGTTTTTTAAAAAAGAGGACAATATTGACTTATAAAAAGTTATATGACTTTATTAGAATTATTAAATTGTTGCTTAGCCTCTCATTTTCAAATGTTATTATAAATCATATATACAATTATTAGTATTATTATTTTTAACACAGAGACCTTCTCATGAAGGCTGAGTTATTTTAGTATAGGTCTCTCTTTTTTAAGATTCCTATATTCTTAGGGTGTGGTGCTGTAGGATAAGCACTGGACCTTAATGTCTGTTTGATCTGCAGTGTGGCGGTTTAGACCCACCAGTCGCTCCTCAGAAGCCCTATACAGGATAGCTATGAGTTGGAACCAACTCTACAGCAGTTAACAACAGCAGCAATCCTTTGTAGCCTTTAGAAATGGAATACAAAATGGAGTTCAGAAATAATTGTCATCTCACATTACTCCCTTCTTTTCTTAGATATTTGGATTGTGGAACAGTTTAGATAAGTGTTACATTAAAATATCTATTAAATTAATATTAAATAAAAGGTAAAGGTAGTGTAGTGGTTACGAATTGGCCTGCTACCCTCAGGGTCCGCAGTTCGAAACTACCAGCTGTTCCGCGGGAGAAAGATGAGGCTTTCTGCTCCCATAAGACTTTACAGCCTTGGAAACCCTGTACAGGGTCGCTATGAGTCGGAACTGACTCCACGGCATAAAACAAAAACAATCTTATTTTTATTACTAAACAAAGTGATAGATTTTTGATTACTTCTTTTGTTTTTGTTGTTTAAACTAAATTTTATTCTAACCTGCAAATAATTTAAAACTGAAATTCAAATATCATTTTATGTTTTGTTCCTTATCGCAAAATCCAGTTTTGAAATAAATTTATTTGTGGTCACACGAGTGATTAATTGGACTAAATCATCTCCAGGCTGGGGGGGCGCCCTAAATTAAAAAACTAAATGAAGACAACACATGATATAGTCAACCCTTACCTTCTTTCATTTCCCAGTTCTGTGTTCTTGAATTTTACAGAGAAATGAAAGCAATTACATAATCTTGTATTTTCAGATGTGTTTAAAGCATTCTTTTTTGTGTCATTTTTGTTATCATTCTTCAAATGTTAACATGTTGATTTTTTAGACTTTTGTTGCTGTGATTAAAAAATAAAGCAGAGCTTGTTTTGGGGTCTTGGTGTGGCGCTGTGGGTTAATGCGCCACACTGCAAAGTCGTTTGAACTTCAAGGTCGGCGGTTCAAGCTCACCAGAAGCTCCTTGGAAACCCTACACACTATGAGTCGGAACTGACTCTATGGCACTTAACAATAACATGCTTGTCTTGGGACCAGTTTTAGTGTAATATAATATATTCCCTAAGATAGTCACATTTTAAGTTTATCTTCTATGACAATTTAAGTGTTGTTGTTTTTTTTTTTTTCATTTTCTCTTTTTGTTGAATTATTTAGGGAAAGGTGTTCTTTAATCCGAAAATCTAAAAATAGGTGAAGTAAGTTATTATAACAGTATTTTCTCATTATATTAGAAAGTTCAGTATTCTGCAGTTGAGTGTATAGAGTTCACATGAAGTATGTTTGACTTTTAAATAATACTAATGAATGGTAAACAAACATTTTTATTAGATATTCTTTTACATATGAGTTTG